TTTCGCCAGCCACCCCTGCCAGAAGCGGCAGCCGCCCGGGCTCTGGCGGCAGGGGTGGTGGGCACAAATTGGTGTCTATGGCCTTATTTTGTTCATCGATCTTTTATGACACCGAGAACTCACCTTCTACTGGGTGATTTCTCCGGTAGGGCAACTTCGATCCTTTGGCATTCCACTTCTGGGTGTTCTCCACTGGTGCGCGATCTTAGGCTCAAGGAAACCTCTGCAAGGGGCAGTCAGCTTATGTTAGTTTCTTCTGTTTTCTTATGTATTAGCGTTAGTATTGTGTGTCAATAAATGTTCTCTCTCCTCTGTATATATGTGCTGCGTGATGGTTGTGCCACTGGTACAAGTGCTAGTACTACAATTCTTGTCTTGACTTGTGTGCCTTAGCTGCGGCGTAAGCAGAGGAAATGAGGACTGCATAAACTCCAGGAGAGACTGAAGGTTTTGAACGTTGAGTGACCGGTCATGCGGTCTATTATATAATAAAAAATAAACAAATAAATGTATTTTTATTTATTTATTTTTTGATATTTGTGAAATTATTTCTTCTAGTCCAATCCCAATGTGCAGATCAACTTCATCACGGTCCGTCCTCCCACTCACTCACATTTTTTTCCCTTTCTTATCCAATCTGAATCACCCTTTGCCTCATACATCATTTTCTTTTAAATAAATGTTCAATCAAAATTGAACTCAAGTCGTTGGCTCAAGTTAGACGTGTGTGTTATCTTTGTCCTTTGATCAACGTGTTCTTGACAAATTTTGTTATTAAATTTTGTCATTTTTTTATCTTACAAATTATATTATTATGTTATGGATTATTACCCTTTTTTCTAGAAAATTTGTTTAGTAGATTATGCAATGCACCCGTATATATTCAAATTTGCTCATTTCTCCGGTGGAATTTGTGGTAACCTAATACAAACTTCCCTCAAACCTCTTGTCGGACAAACACCATTCAAACAATTCGCGTTCAAACGATGGTAGGGGTGTGACGCTCACTTTACTCTAGTTCTCAGCATTTTTTTTAAGGTGAAATTTACAATCTCTTACCATCTCATTTACCTTCCCAAAATGCTTGATGTGAGTCCCACCATTATCGCGTTATTCTCTTAAGAGTTGACTCTAATATCGTTTTATTACTCAGCCACTAACTTTATCATTTCGCCATTAACTTTATCATTTTTTATCTATTTATCTATCGTACTATTCACTTTTTCTATTTTGTCTTTTTTCTAAATTCAATTTAAATCACCCTTTGTCTAATACATCATTTTTAATTTAAACAATATAATCAAATTGGACTCGTGTCATTGACTAACATGTGAAGTCAGAGAAGTGTAATAGTATATATTATCTTTGTTCTTTTAGAAAGAAATTGTTCTTGATAAAATTATTTATTAAATTATTTTCATTTCTTATCTTAAAAATCATATCATTCCCTATTAATCTCCTAAGGGCTAGCCTAAAAAGTGTTCTTCAAAACAATTTTACACTTCGGGAACTTTTAAAGGTAAGTCTATTGGTTATGTTAAGAAAAACTAACAAATATAAATAGATATAAATATTTAGTACCTATTGAAGAGATAGAAATTCTCCCATTGGTTCGGTTAGTTAATTGTCAAATTTTATTTTTATTTACTTAAAAAATCCTTATATTCTCAAACCATTTCAATAAAGTCATTGATTGTCCTCCACTATCGTCAGACAATTAAGTATTACACAAAACACTTACTCTTGTAGTGTTGTGGGAAGCAAAATCCCACTAAGGTCACCAAATTTGCAACATAGTACAACATTTCAATACAAAATTGAGTGTGACACCTAATATCTTGTTTGTTTCAAACGCATTTTTTAAATTTCTTTTTTCCTTATATTATTACTTGGTAATATCATTTGTAAGAAATAATAAATAAAGAAAAATGTGACTCTACTTATTAATATTTTTTATATCTTTTTCAAGCAAAATTTATAAGAAAAATGAGAATTAGTAGCTCCTGGGAGAATTTCTTCATTGATTCATTTGGTGAAATACTTTTCTTTTTCTCACCATTACGATTTCAAATCGTTCCAACAAAGTCATTGGTAGAAACTGAAAATTATGAAATTAGAAATATAAAAGAAATAGATAAAGGAAACACAAAAATTTATATGATTTAACGTAATTAATTTATATATATCAGAGATAATTATAATGCTGAGTACTTTTTTTTTTTAATAAATACATATATCACGTGTATATTTGTAGATATATGAAGAATTAGAATAAATTTTGTGTTTATAATTATTTTAATATTTAATTTTAACCAATTTTATTTCTAACAAAATAAATTATATCTCTTCAAATATTTTTTAACAGTTATTTCATTTGAGATCTGCAATTTTGTAAGAGACAAAATTCAATTGAGGGGCCAAATTCATAATACATCAAGACATTTCCAGGTACAACTAAGGATTGCACTTATGTCCTGTTTTTTCAAAAACTTCCTGTCGTGCCCCTCCTTTTTCTTATTTAACATTATGCATTATGCCTATCCGTATCAATTCGAAAAGGCACTAGCAAAAAGAAAAAAGAGAGTGGCTGAAAGCAAATTATTTATTGGTCATGTCCTTTTCAAATAAAAATAAACAAATGTTGAAAAAGGAATAAATAGTTCATGAGGATAGATGGGAAAACTTCAAATTATCCATTGGTTCATGTAGTGTACTTAATAGTACCAAGTCTCCGGTGGACCGGTGGCCAAGTTCAAGTCATTATGTTATTGACCCCCCCGGTTCATAATTTTTTAAAAACATATTTTATTTTAAAAAATGATATTTGTAAAGTTTATTGAAAATTATATATCATAAAAAATTTCATCAAAAAATTATTTTCAATTCAATTTAAATCAAACCATTTTACAACTACATGCTATTTCCCATAAATAATAAAATGGGTTTTTTAATTTTTTTCATTCATTTTTACAAATTTAATTTCAATGGTGTCTTTTTTTTTCCTTAGAGGAATCTGACTTGGGGTACCTGCAAATAATTCAATTTAGTTCAATTTCGGAGTAAATTTTGAACCAATAGATTGAGCTGAACCCTTCACTTTTTTGAAAACCAGAACCGAGGAGAACTCTTTAGAGAAACCAAAATTGAACCACATTGGTTTTTTTATTTATAATTATATATAAGTAATACATAAAATAATATTTCTCATATTATATGTAATTTTTTTTTAGTTCTTGAAGTTCAATTTTTTTAAAATAAAAACCGAATGACGTACTATGAAATTTTACTATTGGGAAAACAAAATGAACCAGAAATGGAGAAAAAAGAAACCAAGTATCCCGCTTGTTTCGGTTTTTTGATTTTCTTGGCCCGGTTGCACTCTTCTATTGCTATGGTTTATTCTGGTTCTTTTTTGCCCTTTTTTTTTTAAACAGCAATAAGGACCATAGAATCAATATAGATCTTTTTGTTTTTATTTTGGTTTTTCACTTTTGAACTCGTTCATGTTAGGAAACTAAAGGTTTGTTTGGATAAAATTAAAAAAATGTATTTTTAAGATATATATTTTGTTATAAAAATTTTTATTAAAAGCAAAAATTATTCCATTTTTGGATATAATTATAAAAAGCACTTTTTAAAAGAAATTATTCATACTTATTTAGAAAAATAATTAAAATTTTATTTTAAAAAAAATTACCAAACACTCTAAAATATTTCTTAATAAAAAGTACCATTTTATCCATATATGGGCCGAATACGTGGCCCATTCGGGAGCCGAGGGCCATTATATTCTGCAGAGGGAAGCATGGGAATGGTTTTTTGGCCTAATACTAGAAAAAAAAATAATATGCTGGTCCATAACTGGATTTTTGGACTCTCTCTCTCTCTCTCCGGTTAAAGGTGAAGTTTTGCTATTATTTCTTTCGACCACCGTGATTAGAAGCTTATGCCTTGGCTTAAGGCCTATCTCATATAAACGCGTTTGACATAACAAAATTCATGGCAACCAGAACTTTTCAACCCAAAAAAAATTAAATTAATTAATTGTAAGCACCAAAAAATTATTTATGTATTTGCCTATTTCTTATTATTATTATTATTATTTATTTTTTTTGGGTGGCACACGAAGGAGGACGCCTCTAACCCACATGCTAGTTATCGAGTGAAGGCATTCATTCTGTTTATGATCCACCCTCCATGTCCAATGATCCTGTCTCTCCACAATCTAAGATAGGCGGTAGGTAGTGCTATTTTTAGCTGTTTTTAATATGCCAGGCAGTTGTTTGAAGCATTGTCAAAGTGAAGACGTCAAACATCTCTGCAAATTGCAATATTTGTAGAAGGCTAATCTGCACTCTCTCTACTTGTTTGTTGCAATCAATGGAATGTTTTTTATTTTCAAGAGAAAGATCCCTCCCTCTACCCACAATCCAACATGGGTGGCTCAATTCCCTTCTAAGCAACAGAAATCAACAGAATTTGATTATAACTCCAGCTTCCGCAGCGTTTCTTGAGTCCTGAAAATACCATTTACCTCACATCTTTCAAAAGTCAATCCGCTCACTTTAATCATGATTCATGAATAATCCATAACCGATTCTCTCTCTCTCTGGGACTTGGCGTGTGTAGCTTCCAATCTCCATTGCTGACATACCTTCCTTTACTCACCCACTACTACTTTTTAATCCAAAATGCAATCATCTCCACACGCACAATCCCCCCTTAGTCCCATGCGTTTCTTACCCCCTACGCCAATCATTAATAAAACAATGCCATATTTCCTTCTCTGCCACCCTCCAAGACCTTATTTTAGATCAAAACATAAAAAACATCCCCATGCACATCAAAACCCCAAGTGCCTTAAACCATGAGGATCGATAAAGCCTTCTTGTTTTGGACCTCTGCCCTTTCCGTTGCCCTTCTCTCCTCCATAATCCCTCTCTATATCTTACCTTCCTCCAGCACCATCACCCTCCTTGTCAAATCCACTCAAACTAGCCATGGACTTGGTTTTTGAAAAGGGTTGTTGAGCAGAGTGGCTTAGATTACTTATGTTCCATTGTGGACTGGACTGCCAGAAGGAGACAGAGACACCAACACCATAGGAGGAGGAGGCGCAGGAGCATCTGTGATGATGCGGAATGGAAATCTGGATTGCATCGGATTATGGGGTGTCATGGATCTTGACAGTTGATCAGAACGGTTGTGCTAATTTCAGCAGTGTGCAGAGCGCAGTGGATGCAGCTCCTGATCATAGCCCCCATTCGACTCTTATACTTGTTGATTCGGGCACTTACAGGTCAGATCAATGCACGCTACAGAGTTTTTCTATACTCGTATCTCATTTTATATTCAATCCTGCAATGGCGTTTGGAAAAGAAAAAGAAAATTAGTGGCTCGGATGATTTTCCTGCTAATATGCAAATATTTAGAAGGCCACTTAAGAGAAACTTAAAGTTGGCTTTACATGTTCAACTGTTACAAAATCGCATGATGGAAGGCAGAACATCTCCTAAAACTTGGGTCAACATATTAAGAATTTACCGAACCTGTGCCATCTGAACAACAATTCCTGTTTACAGAAAGTCACTAAATTGAATTACCTCGTGTCAAAGCTTATTGTATTGGCTTTGATTTTTGAGTGCTCAGTCCTGTTTTGTTGAAAGAATTTCACTCTAAGAGGTGAAGTAACTTTTAAAAAGCACCTACCCGTAGGAAAAAAGTTCCCAAAATCAATAAAAAATCCCAAATATTTGGGAATTTTAAATTTTTTGTACCTTACTGGGAAATTACTCGATTCACCTTGAGGTCACTGTCTTGTGAAATGAATTTTATAAGAAATAAGTCCAAAAATATGGATTTCTTTTTTTAAAAAAAAACTGACACATTATTTGGGAAACGTCCATGGTGGCAGGGAGAAAGTAATTGTGCCTGCAAACAAGACCAACTTAATTCTTGAAGGTCAGGGCTATCTCAATACAACCATTGCTTGGAATGACACTGCAAATACCACTGGAGGAACTATTTATAGCTCCACAGTTGCCATCTATGCTCCCAATTTCATAGCTTTGCACATCAGCTTCGAGGTAAAGCCCAATTTTCCACATTCATCAACAGAAGTTCCTAGATTTTGAGTAGTAGTACAAACAAATAAGAAAATGAATATTTATGAGGCAAATTAATTTATACTGCTCAATTTTATTCCATCTATTGGCTGCTCGGCGGGTTCTATGCCATATAGAACACTGCTCCTCCACCTTATCCCGGCGACCGTGGAGGCCAGGCTGTGGCGCTTAGAATATCAAGTGATCAGGCTGCATTTTACAACTGTGGATTCTATGGAGCACAAGACACCCTCAATGATGACCACGGAAGGCACTATTTTAAGGACTGTTTCATTCAAGGGTCTATTGACTTCATCTTTGGAAATGCTAGATCACTCTATGAGGTACCAGTGTGCCACATTCAGCTAATATGATTCCTCCTGATTTCTGACTTTTTTGGGCTTAGAATAGTTTGGCTTTACTTAAAAAGTCATAGGATAAGAAAACAAGCTCCTGATAAGCAGGTGGGAATAAGCACATAACAAGCAGAAAAAAAGTACCCATTTTCTATTTCTTCAAGCATATTTCATTCAGTGAAGTTAACAGCCTTCTTAATTTCTTAAAGGCCAATTCCTGGGGTTAATGGCAGGGTTGCACAATAAATTCCACAGCGAAGGAAGTCTCCGCAGAGTATGTAAGTGGAAGCATCACAGCACACGGGAGGTCATCCATGATCGAGAATACGGGTTTCTCTTTTGTGAATTGCAGCATTGGAGGAACTGGGAGAGTTTGGCTCGGACGAGCTTGGGGGACTTATGCCACCGTGGTTTTCTCCAGGACCTATATGTCGGATGTTGTGGCACCGGATGGATGGAATGACTGGAGAGACCCCTCTAGAGACTCGTCTGTGGTTTGATCCTTATTGCTATTAATTCCCTCTGTGTTTATAATCACTCGTCCGCAGGAAAACATTGCAGTAAAAATGGTGAAGTAAGACCAATTGATCCAAATCGGCCGCAGTTTCTTGATTTCGAAAAACAAGAAATTGAATCATCAACTCTTACTTGACTATTTCATTGCAAACTGTTTACTTCAGGAAAACCGTGCCTACTGATTTCTCTCTGATCTTGCAACGTATACCGATAAAGTACACAGAAGTATTATACTTAATAGCATTCTGGTGTTATTTGGAGATTAATCATGAAATGGGTTGTTGTGTTTTGGGACTTTCGTGTAATTTTTGGTCTGAATTTTATCCGATAAATTGAAGTTTTGTTGGGGTTTGGCTTGTTTTGCAGGACTGTGTTCTTTGGAGAGTTTGAGTGCTTTGGGCCTGGAGCCAACTACACAAACAGAGTCTCGTATGGGAAGCAACTGAGCCAGGCTGAAGCAGCACCTTATATGGATATTTCATACATTAATGGACAACAATGGCTTCCTCCTCGTCCAAGACAAAAAACAATTGACACACAGACTTCATCCAGACCTATTAGCATCTAAGAATTTATCATAGTACTAATTTTTTTTTAAAGAAAAAGAATCGTAGTATTGAATATATATATATATATATATAGAGAGAGAGAGAGAGAGAGAGAGAGAGATAAGGATGTAGCATAGTGAATGTCATTAATGTTATAGGAGATACCTTAATTGACACTTCATGAAACTTGCACAGTAGGAAGTTGAAAATGATGTAGCTTTGTTTGACAAAAATTATTTTGGATTATTTTCTTTTTCTTGTACCCGTTTTATTCGGTTGTAGGTTGATTTACCTTTAAAAGTCGAGGTGAACTCACATGGAGATCCTATGTAACGGTTAGCAATTGAATAAAAATTTTTCAAGAAGTGGATTAAGTTTATATCTCGTGAATAATCTTCAATAATGTCAAACTTTTACACCACTAATTTATAATCCTTTTAATAAGTGAGAAAATAAAAGATGATGTAATAATTTAATATTTTATTACATTATTTATTTTAAAATAAAAAAATGAAGTGTCATTTTAAAATTATATATATTGTGGACTTAAATAATTAAAGTTAAAATTCAAAAATAAATAATAGATTACCCAAAATGTTAGAAAATGGCCGGACCCAAACCTAATCCACCTTACCTGTTTAAGAGTTGGGTTGGGCTGAGACCGGGCTTTTTTTTCTTTTTTTTTTTTTTACGCAGAAATATTAAGCCTCATTTATTTGTTTGTCCTTCACCAACACGTCGTGTTTCGATCTCTTTTGGCTCTAGCATGGCTCCCACGCACCTGTATTTTTTCCACACGTGCATACGCACTTGTGTCCTATCCTATCTAGGATGTCTGTTTGACCGGTCCACGCACCTCGCTCGCCCGCACATGTCCAAGGGTTCTTCCTTCCTTGGCTCACGCACTCATGCATGTAAACTCCTTCCTAGCAGCTCGTGCACCCACGCCTGTTCTTCACCCATCGTCTTCCTCGCCTATCTCTCTATGGTTTCTCTGTTAAAACAGTTGGCTGGAACAACCACCTTCTGTTCGTTGGACTGTTTTGCTATGAGATAGCACCACTGCCACACAGTCTCCTCTGATTACCGATCAACACTCAATGCACCAAGAGCAGAACACTAGAACTGGGGATAAGCAAAGAAGACTTACAAAGAGGAAGAAGTCTAGAAGAAGAAGCACACTCAATCTACAGAAGAATCACACCCAATCTTGTTTATTATCTCAGCAATACAACAAGGAAACTTTCTAAATTCCCTCACTCCCACCAACTTTCTGCTCTCAGAATGGAGAAGGGAGTAGTAAACCAGAATTGTGGCCCCCTTCTAGACACCCAGGACCAAGTAGATCAAATCCTAATCTACTCCAAGAGTTGCCCCTAGTCTTTTTGCAATCGGATTTCCCAACAAAAACAATCCTATCCCTAGGATCTTAACTTCAGATAACCTCAAAATCCCATCCACGACTATGTTCAAGTTTTCGTTCTACTCCAGGCTTCATCTACGACTTGCTTGAGTCACCCATCAAATTTGTCATTATCTCTTGACCTATTAGTTTCAGATTTGGGTTCCCATAATAATACAAGTCAATTAAAAATCTCTCTATCTTTTCAAGATTTTTGATTTTTCACAGGATGCTTGGCTTGCTATTCAAATAGTCCTATTCACGGGTCTTGAACTGGCCCAAACCGGAACCAGATTGTCGGTTTTGGTCCTGAAAAAATATGAATTCGGACTGAAACCTTGAAGACCAGTTCAGTTTCAGTTACAGATCATGCCAGTTCTGGGACGGTTCCCAGTTCTGGTTCATTACGATTTTAGGCCAGGTCGGTTCACGGTCCTAGCTGGTCCTGCTCATGGTTCCAATTTTGGTTTGTTCCTAGTTCATTAACGGTTCGTTTGCGGTTCAGTTCGTTCATGATTCATTAATGGTTTGTTTCCTGGTTTGTTCATGGCTCATTAGTGGTTCATTTACGGTTGAGTTCGATTATGGTTTGTCCGTGATTTGGTTCGGTTCCAATTTGATTTAGCAAAAAAATTTATTTATTAACTTATAAATTATTTAAAATTTTTTAAATAATCAATTTTTCAATATATTTAAACTATTAAACATTAGAAAATAGATTTTTCTTTTGTATGTATATAAATTAGCTACTTTAATTTATTGACTAGTAAATAGAACGCATGACTCTTCTAGGTGATAAACAAATAATAATTAAAAGATATCTTTCACCAAAAAATATTTCAATTGTGACCCATGTGAGTATATACATATTCAATAATTTTGGATAAAAATAAATAGTTTTAATGGCTAAATATGTGGAATTAAATTAAATTTCTTAATTACTCAATTCCAAAAGGATTAGGATAATATGTAAATTTATTTTAAACAATGCATACAAAATATTTCCCAACTATTGCACATATTTATACACGACATTCGTAACATTCATATAACGTTTACTTAAAATTTTGAAAAGGAGATGCGCGAGAACCATGTTAGTAATATAATTTAAATCCTTGATACAATTAAAAATTATATATTGCATAGAATTTTTGTAAAATTCTTGCCACACGCAAGGGAATATTCAACTCGTTAGGCTCAATTTATCCCAGGTTGGCTTCTTATCAAATCTCATTTTTTCATGTGCAATTCACGTGATGAATGAATATTATCACACTTTTAATCGATGTACCAAAGTACTATCGAGACATTTAATTAAATCATAACCTGTTAAAATTTAAATTGTTTAAATGCATAAATCAATATTAGTTTCTTAACTCAAACATTTCAAAACTTCATGCAAGATCTACATTAATATTAACATTATTATTGTTTTTGTCAATTTTAATATCAGTTATGAGCATGTAAATAAAATTTTTTGTAGAACTTTAGGGGAAAATATACTTAAATTATAAATATTAAGTTTGTCAAAACCACATGTCCTTTCAAAATTTTAAAAATGTGGAAATTTAGACATTGCCCTTCAAAATTTAAAAATCACACTTATTCTTCTCATCATTTTATGCATAAAATATGATATAAATATTATAATTTAATATTGCAATTATATTTATATAATTATTATAATATTATATTATAATAAAAAATGTTATAATATAATATTATAAATATATTTTTATAACATTAAAATGTTATTTTTTAAAAAATATAATTTTTAACGTATTTTGATTAGCTAATGTATTAAACCAACCAATCCCGTTTGACATGAAGTTATTATCTTTTTTTATGATTTTCTTCTTAGAAATAAGAATGTGAGAAGTTTAATTAGTGTTTATTTTTAGATTTATGTGTTTATTTTTTTAATGGTTCACAGTTTCGATTCATGGTTTGCAGTTGTCACAATTCAACTCCAGGCCCGTGATCAGCACTAGGGCCCACCGACACTAGTAAGCCTCTCAACCACCATGCATACATACTCTAGCCAAAACATATGTATATACAACACAAGCCTTCAAAACAAACCAGAAATCATGTCTAAGAGAAGCACTAAAGTACAAAAGGGAAATAACAAAAAAACATGCTTGTACATCAAATCAAATCCATAGACAGTCACTCTGACTCTAGCTTGCTATTTGAGACGAGGATAGCAAATCAAATCTAGAATGATGATAAAATATGAGTTGCGAAACTTAGTGAATAGAGATGATACCTAAGCTATGCATGTTGAGATATGTATCATATCTCAAGTACAAATCATATATATATATATATATGTATGTATACAGTAAGCAGTACAACATATCAAACCAGTATGTAAGGGTATCATCAAAACCAGTCATCACATCACATCACCAGATCTAGGGCATACCTTGCACATTACAACCCACCGTTCATCAGCTAAGTCCCTGGTATCCCAATCTCATCATGATAATGCGCAACATATCCGCGACTCCTACCGCTTCATATGGGATTCAGCCCTACTCACCACTGGATGCTACGGATTATCGTACTTCAGTCGAGTTCTTAACATCTCCAAATCATATCACACAATACCATCTTTGCATATGAGTCAAAAACATTTATACGTACATATACAATTCACATCTTGAGAACTAGTATTATCATATTAACATAGTTCACTGGTAGTTCACAAATCACATAACACATATCTCAAGTATAATATATAACCAAAATGTAATTTACGAAACCATATAATCATCATGTCAGAAAAACACGGTATGAAAAATACATGTATAAGAAGGGTATCATCACTCACAGTACTGAACCCAAGCCAAAAAAAGAAGTCTCGAGTCACCCTCACCTGGCTCACCAGTTTGGGTGCGCCTCTGTTGGTGTACTTGTAACTAAAACCACACAAAATCATTACCGACACCAAAACCATCACAAGAAAACAACTCGATAGCTTAAAATTGGGCTCGAATCCTAATCCAAAACCCTAACATGTATTTCGAGGCTCACTCCCCAACACCCTAAGCCCACACAGCTCAACTACACACATCCACATCCCTTAAAATCCTTGAACCACAGTGAACTAGCCTCCAAAACCCTCGAACCAGCCTAAACTAGCCTACAACTACTTTAAACCGAACTGAACTAGCCATGAAACCCTCAAAATCAGATTCAACAAGCCCCAAAACCTTAGGAACCAATTTGAACTAGTCAAGAATTGCCCAGAACATGGTTGAACCGGCCATAAGAACTCCTAAACTGGCCTGAATCAAGCTGGTTCACCCAAAACACCCAATTTCTGGTTAAACCAAACCTTTTTGGACCCCCAGACCAACTCGATCCAATAGATCTTTTCTTCCTAAATCTAAAACCAGTCCACTTCAAAAATTTGAGTTGATTTGACTATTAAACTAGCCGGTCAAACACTAAACTATCTCTAGATTGGTTTAGTCAACAGAAACCCTAATTTCCTTTAAATAGCCTATCATAAACTTGGTTATTTAATTCCCAATTAATCCTTATTTTTGTTTTCCCTATCCCTTGGAATAACATATCCTAATTCCAATTGACCTGGTTGACTCGTTGAGT